CAAGTGACTCTCCTGGTCTCCAGCCTCCCCCCACTGACCTCTGCAGGTCTGGGCTGAGCAGTCACTCCACAGAGACACTTAGTGGTCTGGTCTCTGGAGAGACTTGAGCAGACCACAGCTCTCTTTTTAGCTTGTTCTCAACATAGCCTTGGAGAACCAGCTGCTTCTTGCCCTCCTGGGCCTTAGGCCAGGCCATCACCCAGCTCTCTGGCCATCTACCACCTTCTGCCTCTTGCCTTCACAAGCCCTGCTCTCCCCCAACAAGGCTGCTGCCCAACCCCCACCCTCCCATCACAGATTCTCCCACACAATTTGGATTGTTTTCTATTTTCTTGCATGTGGAACTCCTCAGGCCTGGAAGACATTTAACCATCTGTTGCCATTTGGTGTTCTGGGGCTTTTCACTTGGTACAACTTTGGTGTCTCTAACTAGACAGTGGGTTCTTCCCAGTCCTGTCCTTTCTCTGCTGCTTCCAGAGGGAGACTGGAAGCATTCCGTGAATACAAGAATGACCGTGTGGTGATGTCTCCAAGCCAAGCCCTGCAGCCCAGGGAGGCTAAACTGCTGTGTGGATTCTAGATGGATTGTTCTCATCCCTGGCTTTGAACTTCTTCTGGAAGAGAGTCTGCCTAGGCCCCTGCAGCTCCCCATCCTTAGGACCTAGACGAATGAATACAGCATCACCCCCTCCTCCAAGTCAGATTAGCCATAGGTATCTAGAAATTCCATTCTGAGCACCTACTGTGTGCTCATGCCTGTCAAGAGAGGTTGCAGAGGGTGAAGAGGGGCCAGATTACTGGGCTCCTGCCTTCCACCATTTCCCAATCTAGATGGAGAGAGAAGACTCATAGGCAGGAGAGCCAAAGCAGGTCTCAGGGCGTGTGGCCATGGCCAGGGCTGCAGAATGTGGTTCAGTGGGTGCTAGAGAGAGGAGAATGATGGTGGCTCCACTGAAGGGAAGCTGAACACAAAGAAGGTTTCCTCCTCCCTTGAGGGGGAGAAGCAAAGGGAAGTGAGGTGCAGGAGGCAATGGTAAGGCCTGCAAAACTACACCATCTGAGCCAAGATCCCCACCACACAGGGCTTCCTGACATCCCTAAAGATGAATCAGCAACAAAATGTAAACCCCAAACACAGAGAGAAAATGAGAAGCAATTGTTCCCAACTCCCTTTTCCATTTGCTGGCCTTCTCTCTCTCTCTCAGTGGATGGAATAATTGTGGCCATGAAGTGGCACTTGAAGAAAAAGTTTTAAATCTGTTTAAATGTCACAGTGAGTAATACTTTGCCCCCATCTTTCCCTAGTTACATTTCTCTTTGATGTTCTAAGGTTAAAAAAAAAAATTAGCTCAAGTCTTTCTAGAATATCAAGGGCAAGGATACCAGAGAGCCAACCTAGCCACATTCCTTACTATTTTCTTTGGGGTCCTGCTCCTTTATTACATTAGTTCGAGACACCTGTCGGTGTTGTTTTATCCCCAGTACTCTGCGGTGGCAAAACAGTGGGAGCCTAAGAGATCCAGCTCTGTGCCTTTAAGAGATCTATGCCTTGGCAGAAGCTGTTTCTGCCGCTGTTAATACAAGGTAGCTCAGTTATATGGGGCCTGGTGTCCTGGTGGCTTCTGTCCCAGCAGTGTGGGGAGAGGTAGGGCATTTTACCACATAGGTGCCAGAGAGCTGAGAGGTGAGGAATGTGTTACCCCCTAAGGGGAGACAGTCCAAATCCAAAATAAGCCATCCTCAGGTGGGGAGACAGGGGAGCGTGAGGTACCTTCCCTAGGGAAGACGGAGCTTTCCACAGCTTTGGGTCCACATGTGGAGAGAGACAGGGAGAGGGGGCTGTGGTGCAGGGGGCACAGATGCAGTCCTGGAGGGAGTTGATGCTATACCTTATGGCAGTATTTTTGCAGGTATCTGAAATAACCAGATGCCCCCTTCCATTAACAACTCCACTCTCCCACTCACTCCTGCCCAGGGACTGCTTTTATTTATGTATTGGCTATTATTATTAATAATAAGATGAATAATGAAACACCTGTGAATAATTTACTTGGACCTGGGCAGGGCTGGGGTGGGGGCAGGAAGAAGTGGAAGATAAACCACAGCTGCCCTCCCCTGTGCTGGCACCTTCTTTCCCAGCCCCCACCCCCACCCCAGCTCACTTCCTTCTCTTCCCCCAGACCTAGCTTTGCTTTAAGGAGGTGGCAGGGAGGGAGAGAGAGAGAGAGAGAGAGAGAGAGAGAGAGAGAGACCTCAAGCAGGAATTACTCTCCTAAACTCCCCTGTTATGGCATAAAATACATCCCACTCCATTGTGATATCCTGGGAGGTAAGCACCACAAAATGATGTTAGAGGAGATATTTCGGACAAAGATACTGGCCTCTGCTGATGTGTCCTGAGGGGAAGGGGAGGAGGGGAGTCTCAGACTGGTGCGCGCACGCACACACACAGCCAGAATGTGGATACAAACGGTCTATGTGCACAGCCACACTGCACCCACACAAGCACTTACACACAGTCCTGATAAGACACAGGCACACATCTCTAAGCCACCAGCTCAAACCCTCTGTGTGCCTACTGGGGACATGCCACCTTATGACAGCACTTCATAGGCACACCACGCACACAGCTACCTTGCAGAGAGGCCCTATGTGTGAGTTTCTGTTCGATTCCATCAACTCTGGCGATTCTTAGGCCGTCATATAACACTGGATAATGTAAGCCCAGAACCGAGTTATGAATCAACTATACTTACACACGATTCCATCAAGAAAAGACAGAAGAATCTTAAAATGAAAGGATGAAGTTCCACAGCTCTCAGAATTGTACTTGCTGTTTGGTCACTCGCCCTGGATCCTCAGGGAGAGGTGTCCCAGGTGGGCTTGGGGCCTGGGGCTGAGAACCTCGGGGCCTCCTCAGGCCTCCTCCTGGCGCTGGAGAGCTCCGCGTTGTGGTTGTACCAAACGGGCTTGGTTTCGGTATTCAGGCAGCTGGGGTCTCATTTCTTTAAATAAAATTGTAAACATATTGTCTAATAACATCATGTAATCCGAGGGTAAGAAAAGAGAAACCCAGGACACCCGAAGGGGGCCGGTGGGGGTCCAGCCAGAGTCAGGCCGGCAGCTTTGCCCCTGCAACTCGCAGGGGAGCGGGCGCGTTATTTTAATTTGCCCGGCTTCTGAAGCCATTGAGAAGAGGCTGCCCTGGAAAAGCAAATGTGGGAGAGGATGAGGGGCAGGTAAATATCATTAAAATGAAAATCTGCTCTCCCAACCCAAGTTCACCACCAGCATTCGCCCCCAGAGGCGGGGCTGCTTGGACCCGGCTCCCGCGCCGGCCACTCCCTCTCCTGCGCGGCCGAGGCTCTGGCCCCCGCGGTCCTGGTGGGGAACCCGGCAAAGTCGGGCTGGGCGGCCGGACCCTTGGCTCCAGCCCGCAGACGCGACTCCGAGCCTCGCACTTCTGGAGAGGGAGGCGCCGCCAACGAAGCCCGCGGGGGCAGCGCACGCCGCGCGAGTCTGGGTCCGGCCGCAGTCCGGATAGCGATTCGGGGGCTTTATTTCTTTGATGGTGAATTAAGGAAAAAATTTCAATTTGAACCGGTAACGCAGACGAGGGCCAAATCAAGCCGGTCCCTCGCGCTGGCTCAGCGACCCGGCACGGCACCCAGATCCCTGCCTCCTTCCACGGCGGGCGAGCCGGCCGAGACGCCGGGCTCCTACCTTCCTCCCGCCAGCCGCTTGCCGGACCAGCCGCCGCGTTTCCGGGCGGGGGAGGCCGTCCGGGACCGAAACACCCACCTCCAGCCTTCGCAGGCGGGCTGGGACGAGGATCGGGCCCCGGATCTCTACGCCCC